TGATAAGTTGTAGTTGATTTGCAGTGGCTTCGTCAATGTAGGTTGATTGACTTCCAGTGTCCAGCAGAACAGTGACTGCTCCGTGGAGCTGCATATTATTGGCGTTTGCAATTTCGGCTTGGATGCACATTAATAAAACAGTTGACTCGGGTTCTACTTGATTGAATGTGTGAGTGCTTTGTTCTTCGTCGTAGGTGTTTACAGTATTCCAGGGCTGCGGTTGCGTATTGTCATTTCATGTGTCTTCAGTGATGTGGGTTGTTCCTGTTGTTTTGTTGTCACACAGTGCTGAGTTGTGAGGTTTGTGACAATAAAAACAGCTGATGACCTTTAATCTGCAGTCTTTGGCTGTATGACCTTTTCGAAGACATTTCTCACACAATTTTAGCTCTCTTATTCTGGCCTTTCGAGCGGCTATGGTCGCATATTGTTTACAGTCAGATGAATAATGTGCTTTTTGACAAAAGCTGCATACTTTGCGGTGTTTTTGTTTGGGACTTTGGTTTGTTGGTGCTTGCAAGCGATCCGGTAATGTTTCTTCACGAGGTTCTGTGCGCTTTGCACAAGCTGTTGTGGATATAGTCGGTAATGCTGATGTCGCGTTTGGTCGGAGAGGAAATCTTTTGATTGGGCGTGAGATATAGCCCTTATGCGTTTTCTCGATAGTTTGGTTCGCCTCCGTAATGTTCTTCGTTATGTCTCTTAAGAATGCTCTAAGATCCTGAACATTCTAGTCTGTTTTTGTTCTCTTACGTTCTGCAAGCCGCAGCAGAGTTTGGTAAGGTAGTTTGAATTCTATTATTCTTTCGTATATACCGACTTCTACTGGTTGATTTGCGCCTTCTAATTGTTGAAAGATTCTCTCAACTTCGGTGGCAAATTTGGGCAAGCCCCTATTATCAACCGTCTTAAGCGCTATGAGTTCGCCGTATAGTTCTTTGACTAATCTGTTGGGTCTATCGTACTTCCTTTTCAGTACGTCTTTAACCAATGCGTAGTTCGAAGGGATGATATAATATCCGCCAACTAAGTTCTTTGCTTCTCTTTCGAGAGATTGTAGAAGGTAAGCGAGTTTTTGAATTTCCCGCATATTTGGATTCTCATCAATATATGCTTCAAAGGCATTCCAAAATGAGGTCCAAGTTTTAACAGTACCAGTGAATTTAGGGATGGCGGGAGGGGGGTTATAATGCATTGTCGAGGCACAGCTAGTTTTTGACTCTGTGGCGCTCTGGTAGAGTTCTAAATTTTCTTCTATCTGCCGTATGTCTAATGTTATGTTGGTTATTACCTCTTTTGCTAGTGCTAATTGGTCTATGAGTTCTTGAGGCCTGGTTACTGTCTCCTCGTATAAGCTCATGGCTTCCTCATCGT